GTTCTTAGTTATGCACTCCTGCCTGTCCAGCTTTTCCTTGTGTGACTGTTGCCCCTCTGGTACCCCATGGCTGTTTCCTCCAAGGGTTGTATCTCCATGGAGTAGGTGTGTGCATTGCCCTGGGGTGGGAGTTCTGCATGTAAGTCTTTTTTACTGTTGGTCTGAGAGCAAGTCCTTGGGAGTGAGTTTTATCCCAAGCCCAAAGTGTATTCCAGGACCATAGTCTTGGGGGTCCCACCAGACTCCATCTGACCAGTAATTCTCATCATTATTGTGTCATTGGATTTTGTTCCACATTTTTCCTCCCACTCTATCCAGGATCTCCAGTTTTGATCCCTTTTTGAGCGGTTGGCATTGGTAGCCAGGCACCATCCAGCTCTTCATGTCCCAGGGCTGATGTTTCCAAAATGCCCTTGGTATTCTTCACTCTTCTTCACTTCTGACAACAGGAGACCATTAGCCACATCTTAGATGGCCACTTGAAAGCTTTTAAGACCCCAGTTGCTACTCACCTAAATAGGTTGTAGAACAAGATTTTTATGTATTTTGTTGTGCCAATTGAGTCTGGTGTCCCCTAATACTATGGTCTCTAGTCGGCAGATCTGGTGGATCTCTCTCCCACAGTGTCTGGCTGTCTATGAGGGATTGCTCTATATCTGTCTTCTGTTGCTTCTATTAGGATTGCAGTATTTTGTATCACTAATATCTGTGCAAGATTAGCCTCAGCTGAATCTGTCTTTGGTCTAGAGTATATTCCTGTTCACTGACCCCTATCTGATCTTCTCAGTTGTCTTGTATTTATCTTTAGTCTGGTGTTTGGTGTTAGTGGTAACGTGGTATTGTGCATATACTGGTACTAGCCTCTGTCATTTACATCTTATGTGCGCAATTCAGTGTCCTCCCTTTCCCAATGTTATCACGCTGGTCACAGAGTATTTTCACTATTCTTCACCAACACCACAATTCAAAGACATCAACTCTTCTTCCCTCTTCCTTATTAATTGTCCAGCTTTCACATGCATATGAGGTGACTGAAAACACCATGGCTTGGGTTAGGCTCACCCTAGTCTTCAAAGTGACATCTTTGCTCTTTTAACATTTTAAAAAGGTC